GCAGGCAAGTGCTTAACTAAATTAGGAATTTCACAATGGGCCTTAAATCCCTGAGGCTATGATATTGAGTACAGATATAAACGTTCCATACTTTGCCTTCACTTGAAAAGGAGCCAATATTTTTTATCTTGTTTAGGAAAGAAAACCTTAAATCTGAACTTAAGAGGAAATTAAGTGGTGATAGGTCTCATATATATGTTTACAATTATAATTTTCATTACTCCTTTTTGTGAAAAATGCTTCATATTCTTCCTATGTGCATTATAATGTATACATACACACTTCCATTTTTTTTTTGAGACTAGTCACAAATTACAGTTGAGCTAAATGTTTGTAAAATCTATTGGCCATGCCATGAAAGTAGTGATCACAAAACTGAAGGTTTTGCCCTTATCTAGCTAGCTAGCTAGCTATCTAGAGCAAGCAAGCCAGTGGGGGAGAGGGACAGAGAGAGAGGAAGAGAATCTCAGACAGGCTCCACACTCAGTGCGGAGTCCGATGCGGGGCTTCATCCCACAACCCTGGGATCATGATCTGAGCCAGAGTCAAGAATCCCAGATGCTTAGTCAACTTAGCCACCCAGGCACCCTGAAAGTTTTGCCTTTTCTAACAGTAAAAGCAGTTCAGAATCATATTAAGAAAATTGTAGAGAATGAAGGGTTGTTGCTTCTTCAAAACCAAATCTACCTTTTGGGGCGCCTGGGTAGCTCAGTCAGTTAAGCATCTGACTCTTGATTTCAGCTCAGGTCATGATCTCACGGTTCATGAGTTCGAGCCCCATGTCAGGTTCTGTGCTGATGGTACAGAGCCTGCTTGGGATTCTCTCTTCATCCCTCTCTTTCTACCCTGCGCACACTCTCTCTCAAACTTAAAAAAAAAAAAAAAATCTACCTTTCGTATATTGTCCCTGTACATTAGTAAAATTGAAAAATGTATTATCCTCCTGCAGTAGCTTTTCTTCATATTTTTTTCTCATGAGAAATCCGTTTCCTCTCATCAAAATAGGTCAAAAGGCCCTCAGTACATACCACAAACGAGAAATATTATCAGAGTTCTTGTGCATAAATACAGGTGTATTTCGTAAACAGACATTGAAAATTGCCCTCAGGGAGACAGCACCTGCCAAAGACTTGAGCCAAAAGCCAGAAAAACCATTTTCAGCACAGATGTAGGGGGACTTTTGGGTTACCCTATATTTATATCCTTTATCTTCAATATCCTTATTACATAAATAGGAGCAGGTGGTGGTATCCCCATTTAACATATAGAAAAACTGCAGCACGGAGAATTCATGCATCTTTTCCCAGGACCGGGCAGAAATTGAACCCTAGTTTTTGACAGCTGGTCTTGATACAGTGACACAGAGCCATAAATAATTTCATATGTAAGTTTAGAATCAAAAGTAGTTACTTAAAATGAATAATAATGTTAAGCACAGATTAGGTTTGAAGTATTTATACTACAGAAAATGTTTAGTTCCCTTTATTAATTTTAGAATAGTAATATTCCCCCCTTTTTCTGCTTTTGCAGAAAGTAGAAGGAAGGAGGATTAGTGGATAATTATATTGCTGATTGCAGCACCTGTGTGTTATTTCTTTTGATTGGCTGGTTCTGTATTAAAGATTCCTACCAGCTAAAAGTCTCCCTCATCAAATGGCTTTTTGTTAGCTAGTTTTGGCTTAGGTTGTTTTAAATTTACAACAAAAACCTTAATTCAACTTAAACTTGTACTTTAAATTGTGTTTTGAATTTGTTTACCATTCCCTTTTTATCTCACCCATTTCAGTTTTTTAATTTCAATGTCAACGGCAACATGCACTCACAATAGGAATATAGCTTGAGCTATCCTGTTTTTGCTAGCCGTCAAGTTTGTGTATGTCACCCAATTTATAGGTACTAATAACTCTTCCCTAGAGAGTTGCCTTTTAAGGAATAAGTGTTCTAATCTATTATGAGGAGATATAGAAATTAATGGCTTTGGATTATGGTTGCCATTGCAGATGCTAACAGCACTGTGTTTAACTTTATCATCATCTCAATCACAAAACATCCTGTTTATAGATTCGAACTGTGGTTTAAGTGTTAAAGTTCCTTGTGTCTCCTTAATATATATTTTCTGAAAGGGGGGAAAATGTAAGTACTATAGATTAAGTTAGTTTGTTTTGATGTTGTTGTTAATCTGGCTACATCAAACATGGAAAATTATAAAGAATATTTAGCTTTTAGAAAGTGAGTTACCAAAAAAAAAAAAAAAAAAAAAAAAAAAAAAAAAAGGAAACTTTCAGACATTAGCCTGCCTAACATGTGATACATGCTGCAGTTTTTCATTTAAATTCAACCATTAATGATTGTTTTCACTCTGCCACCTAGACTTGAATTATTAAAAATCGTTTTTAGAAAGCATCATTTTACTTAATGAAGATTAAATACATTAAATAAATACATCATGTGTTTTTATACAAAATGAATACATTATAGCTGGATAATTTTAGTTTGTATAGCTTTATATTTGGGTTTCTTCAGTTTTGTATAGTGAAATAGAATTACACTGCAAATGTATTTTACGTAGATATTCATTTCTTGCTTTAATAAATTTTACTACATTGGAAATATTCTCCTGGCTTTAGAAATATTAACATTTGCTTTCTTTCTGCCTAATTCTTGTGTAAATATAATAAGATAAAGTAAAATATTTCATTTATAGGCCCTCTGAAAGTAGAGCATTTTAAAAGCAGGTAGGTGTCTCCACCCTACTTTTCATGAAGCATTTTACCCATTCAAGCAGACTTTTAAAAACAGCTTGTTTTGATAGCAGACTGTTCTCCTGTGGGCCTTCAGCCTTTGCTTCCTGGCAGCACCTTTGGTGCGAAAAGAGAGTGATCAATTGGGAGACTATCAGTGCCAGCATGCATAGAGTGATAAGTTAACACACCACTGGGAATTTCTAGGGCCCACCAAGATACTTCACTTCTAATGTGCTAACAAGCTCATTTTTCTACCTCTTGCCTCTTCAGTTATTTTTTTTCTCAGAAGAGCTTAGAAGTTGAGTGCATCAGGCATAATGAAAAGCTCTGTAGGAGGGAGAAGCAATAACCCCATTTTTCCCTTTTCAGCCAAATAGAAAATTAGTTTCTGGTAATACACAAAGGCCAGTATTTTTTGTACAAGGGGCACTGCTGTGAATCAAAGGACTCTATTAACTGCAGAAAATTCGGCAGCTGTGAATCTCCCCCAATGAAAAAAGTACTTTCCAACAAGTTGTGAGATATGTGGTATTATTTAGATTGAACCATCAGTTACATCCTCTTCCACTTATAACCATATACCTCCTTTGAAAAGTGTGCCTATATTACTTTTCTAAGTTAACATTCAAAAATACCTACATGATTCTTCCATAAAATCCTTTCCACTGATCATTTAATATAGCATCTTCTGTTGCTACCCATTTGAGAAGAATTCTTTTCAAAGTTCAGTCCCACTGTACAGAACTGAAAATAATGGATTGCAAAAAATTGGAATTCAGATTACTTCAATATTTAATGCACAAAATAAATTGTAACGCAAGAAAAAGTACTTAAGCCATTTGGAGGGCAAAAGACATCACAGTCTAAGTACCTACTGAATATAATCTTACCTTTAACTCTTAGCTTTTTTCTTCTTCTTAATCAATAACCTTTTATAGATGTAACTGGCTGTGTTATCTCCAATTGAATTACCACTTCAAATTATCTTCCTTACAAATTTTTTTCTTGGTCTTGGTTGTAGACTTGTTCTACAATTTCTAGAAATGTAGAACTACAGTAATTGAGTAGCAATTTTTAAAAAGAATAAAGAATTTTGAGGAAAAATATTAAAATGGGTTTTAGAAAACAATGAAGAAAAACTAAAAGGCAAATTTTTATTAGCTTTATACGTCTATAAATGTCTTATATAAAGCCTATCAACATAGCACAAACAGTACAGTGGGAAAACTTCTGAAAGTTGTAGAAGAAAGGTTAACTGATTTCTCAGTTCAGGAACTATACGACACGAAGTCAGCATGTGAGTTTTTCCTGATAATTGTATGTTGCTGCCTGCTGCTCTACATTTTGACAGCCATTTCCATAGTTGCTTTCGTGAACAACAGAAATATTCTCTCTCTTTCTCGCCCTCTCTGTGCTAACAGCACAATCAGGCCTGCTGAAACAGGAAGCCTGGAGTGGGTTGTTCAAAAGCAACAACACTTCAAGGTACTGGTTGCTTGTCAATAATATCAGAGAAGAAAATGTGGTGAAAGGGAAGTACAGTATTTTTCTGTCAGTGTCAGTGCCCTGTAGATGCTTTGTTAGACAGTATTTAGGAGTCCCGTGGACTCTTTGCAAATATTCCTGCTTGTTTCAGTGTTATAATTGACTAGATATTTTTTCCTGACATACAGATTCAACTATGTATTTATCTTAACCCCATGGAGTTATTCGAGGATTACAGCAACAGTAGTCCTCCATTCAAAATGAGAACAATTGTTGGGAAAATACAGGGATTTTAGAAAAAGAAGAAGATATGCAGGAATTTCTCACAATAAGTCTTTACAAATGAAAAATAGAGAATTTCAGACAGTATTTTAAACAGCATTCTAATATTTATTGTGTGGCTTTTCAGAGCAAATCTGTAGATTGAAGTTGATTTAACAAGATAAAATGAGCCGAGGCTGACCTGATAGCTGTTGAATCCTTTCTCAAGTACATGGTTCCCTTCATTCTTCCAACAGTTTAGTGGTAGTATAATTCTTTCCTAATAAATGTCTCCAGGTTAAGCTGCCATTTATATGGTATCCTGAAGAGTAAACTTATGTTAAAAACTGTATTTTTTACTCTTTAAAAAGCCATACTTTTAAGTGGTATGCAAGAATAGTGAATAATTAAGAAGTAATGGCTTAGCAATCATAGCAGTCCTTTTTGATAAGATCTGTTCTTTTCCAATGTAAGCTGCATTGAAGTACATCCTTAACTGAAGGAAATCAGCTATGAGGAGAGAGCACGATACCTGCAAACAATTGTCCAGCATCATTTAGAACCAACGACATTTGAAGATTTTGCAGCACAGGTTTTTTCTCCAGCTCCCTACCATCATTTACCATCTGATGCCGGTAAGATTAAAAGCAAGTTTTAGTTACTTGTCATTAATGGAACTTGAAATGCAATACCCTTTTGTTCTAAACTCTTAAAATAGAAAACTTAAATAAATTTCATCATTGAAACATTTTCATTATTTAATATTTGAATTTGGCCTATAAATTTAATGTATACTTTTTTTGACCTAAGTGCAGTTCCATTAAAAGTCAACAATCTTCATAAAAGTACATGCACCACATTTTTTCTGAGCTACTGGACAGTGACTGTTGTGTTTCATGGGATCATTACTGAAGTATCTGCAAAAGAAATACAAGTTGAGTACACATTCTCTCTCAACTTGAGAGGATCAAATTTTATGGCCAGGAATATTGCCTTGTCTCTAATTTTACAAATAAAGTTAAAAAATTGTCTAGGTTTAGAAGTACTTGGTACAGTAAATTATTTTATAATATTTAAAGATTATAAGAGGGTACTGCATTTTTACAGTTAACTAATTTTGAAAAAAATCATTAAGAAAATAAATGACTCATGGCCTTCCTATTCTGTAATACTTTGCACTCCTTATGATTGTTTCATTTATTTTATTTTCCCTCTTTAGATCATTAAATATCAGTTCTGTTTATCTGAAGGTAAGACAAAGTGTCAACCAAAACACCCTTTGTTCTTCCCCCATTTCCTTTTTAAAAAATTAGCAAGTGCTAAGCTTGTAACTCAAACAATAAGCAAACTTAACACTGCCCTCATTCATACTAAACATTTCAGAAATTGTCACTAAATTTCTTCCAGAATTATACTTACTAACCCAGGTCTGCATGAAGCACTAACACTGGTTCTGGGATAAAAATAACTAATAATAGAACCACCCCCTTGGTTGAAATTAGTTACACCTTGTTGTATTGACCTTTTTTGTTTCTCAGCATGAAAAAAATAGTACTACTGAGCTGATGAAATGGTGTGTCTTTGTATTTTGTAATGTTTTGCATTGTTATTGAATATCTTAATTCATCAGATAGTTATTCTGTGGTGTGCTTTGCACTGTACTGGGCACCTGAAATACAAAGATGACTATTTGAATGGTGTTCAAGGGAACAGGAAAAAAGAATACAATATACTTGAAGTTCATCCCAAGAAGTCTTCAAATTCTTATTATGATATATAAGTGTTCTTTATATTAAGTAAGTTTAAAAGGCATAGTAGTCCTTTTCTGGCCTAATTTATTTGGGGGAAAAAAAAAAGACTAAATCTCAATTGAGATTTAGTTGATAAAATTAAACTTTCCATTCCTGTCATCATGTAATTTGCCATTATAAAAAAAATATTACCAAAAAACTTAGAGCCTTTTCAAAATTAATATAAAACACCTATCAAAGAAGAAAATTATATAGACTAGGTTGAATCTTTTGAAAGAGAAAGAGATCTTAAGATTCAGTTCAGTGGATCGACACTGTCTAAAATTACTTAGTTTGGAATGAAGAATGATGGTAAAAGAAAGGTATTAGAAGTAAATTAATGAACAAAATAAAAACTAGTTAAATATAACTGGAAATTTCATTGTTTAGTAATAGAGAATATCTGAAAAATACTGAGCTACATTATTAAAATAGATATGAATAACACTTTCATGTATCATAGTTGAATCATAAGTTTCACAACTGAAAAATATTAATAGGACTATATTCAGACTAACTTTCCCCCTTAAATTTACAAAAGCCATCAGTTTTCATATTGTAGTTTTTTTACCAACTGGAGTCCTTCATATTCTTCTTAATGTTCTCATATTGTGCATTTGGCCAGTTACATAATGTGGGAAGCAGTAGTCTCACTTTCTGAGGCATAGTCACCATGTCAAGGTTCTGTTGGCTTCATTTTTTAATGTATTTTACTACTTTATTAAAACTTAGTGGCACGCCTGGGTGGCTCAGTCAGTTAAGTGTCTGACTCCGGCTCAGGTCATTATCTCACGGTTCATGAGTTCAAACCCCACATTGGGCTCTGTGCTGACAGCTCAGAGCCTGGAGCCTGCTTCAGATTCTGTTTCCATCTCTCTCTGCCCCTACCCCATTCATGCTCTGTCTCTCTCTCTCTGTGTCAAAAATAAACATTAAAAAAAATATTTTTAAACTTAGTTATATCAATAGTAATGAAGATGTGTATTTTAACATAAACTTAATACTATGCTACAAAGTATTTACTATGCTACAGAGTATTTTCAGTTAATTTTTTAAAGTTGTTTTTGCCCTCAGGAACCATTATAAAAGCATGCAGTCTAATTTTTAAAAGGGTGTTGTTATCTGTAAATGACTTGTTCCAGTATTACTGAATACATTTTTTTTTTGCACACTTTTTAATACTTGGGAAAGATAAAAATTTTTAGCTAGTGGTTCTCAATTCAACACAATAGTATAAAATTGGAATATTTGCTCTTTTCTATAGTAGCAAAACCATTATGATATCTGAAGAATGATTATCTTTTTCTTCCAGTCATCCCAAATTTTTATCATAAACCACCCCATACATGTAGAACTCCCTTTAAAGTTATAAGTCAAAGTGAGAGAAAAATGAAATGAAATAACCACATAATAGCAATAGGGACCTGACTTTTACATAATAGTGTGAAGTTTTTTAGATTTTTACTTTTAAGCATAATGATAAAATTCAATTGTCACACTGAAGAAATGCATTCAAAATTGTAATTGAGAATCAACTTTAGATATCCTATGCGTAACCCATGTATATAAAATAATGCTAATTGATAACAAATACAATCATTTGAAATCAAGTTTTAAAGAAGTGCCAGTATGACAATCATATAAAGAATATAATCTGTTCTTTCTAACCAATCCTATAATTCTATTCAGTGGAATAGTGTAGAAAACCACTATTTTTTAAATTTACTTGGTTCAAGATTCTCTAAAACCTGCTTTCTGGTTAACACTAATGCATCAACTGTTTGACATTGAAATCCAAAAAAGATACAATTTTTAGTGTTATTTAAATTAGTATGAAAAACATTTTTGGTGTGTCATAGTTGATCCATAAATTTCATAACTGTATTTTCTCAACAGGGACTCTGTGACAGTAGACTGATACTTAAGGGAAATTATTTTTATCCCTAAGGTCATTGAAGGAGATATTGTGATGTCACACTTTTGTTGATCTCCCATAACTACATTACCCATTATTAGATTTTTCTTGTCCTTTATTTTTAAAAAAAATTATAGGAAAAAAATCCCTTTATCTTTGTCAGGCATGTGTGTGGAAAATATCAAAAGTTTTACAGTGGCCTCCTTTTTTAACTTTATGTTCATGAATCTCTCTCCTCTGACTCTCAACTTTAAAGTTTAAAATGAATTTTAAAATGAAATTACTTCTTTTCTTGGCCAGGTTACATTGGTGGTCCAAAAATCTAAGTATTTTTCCCTAACATCACGCTGTCTTTTCAAATCAAGTCTTGTTTTTTTTTTTCTTTAATAAAAGAAATTCTAGGATGCCAGCAACAAGAAACAGGATCCTGTTTTGCTGAAAGTTCACAGTAAATATTGTCTTTCTTAATGTCAGCATTAAAAATACACCCATAATTGTTCCACTATTTTTTACTGTCATCAGCCATAAATATTTTTGAATGCTTATTGTGTAGTCTATCTAGAGTTACATCTAATACTCTGTTACTTAAATTGAGTAGATACCTCTCTTTGGATTTATTGTTTTTCTACAAATTAGAAGTTTTAGTACTCTAAATATTAGAAGGTTGATTGGTGTTTGTCTCTATTATGCATATATAGACATACATAAATATATATCTAATATACATACCACTTTGTTGAATTACTTTTAGGTTCCTTTAGGTTACATATAGGTTCCTACTTAAATAAATGTGAAAATTGTAATAAAATTCAAATATTTCTGTGCCATCAAAATAAGAGATAAAGTGATCATGAATACCTAGAGTAACATCTAATCTTCATTCTAACTGCAGTTTTGCTCTTAATTCACAAATATGTATTGCCACATGTAGATAGGACAGTATTATGGTCAGATCTATCTCTTTAAAAGTTATTTTAAACTTTCCTCCCCTTTTCAGGCTTTGAAATGATCTGAAAGAACACACTGGAGCTCCTCAGAAGATAGTTATTTTATACATATCCTAGATGTTATTATTATTTATAAGTGCCAGTAGGAAAATCAGTTTCCTTCAACACAGAACATAAGCTATATATTTGTTATGTTTTTAAACCTGAAGTTATAAGCAGTCAAATGTATTTTGAACTTGAAAATTTGGCTTATGTCTTGTTGACCAAGGGGCAAATAATATTAGTCTTAAAGTCCATTAACCTTTTGTGACAATAATTACTAAATTCAGTTTCCACATAGAACATTCATTCAGATGTATAATTTTTGTAGTGAAAATAATAAAAGAATAATTCAACAATTACTGAGTGCCAGGCACTGTGCTAAGCACTATACGTGCATTCTCTCATTTAATCTTCGCAGCAGTTCTGGGGGCCTGAGGGGTGGGGGGAGTTTATCCAGAGTCACCTGATACTTGGTAAAGCCAGAATCTGACTTCATAGTCCATGATCTTAACTATTATAATTACCTGTGTAATCTAAGTATTTTCAGTCCCTTCTTGCTGTTGAAATTGCCCTACAACCTGTCATATTTACAAATTAGATATTGTTAAAGATTCTACTTTTCCACCCATTGAAAAATCTTTTTTTTTTTTTTTTAATAGATTAAAGTTGCCATGGGAGAAGTATGGAGTATGGGCTTTGGAATTAGACTGATCTGGATTTAAATCCTAGTTCTGTTATTTATTATCCACATAGACTCAAGTAAATTAATCTCTTAAACCCAGTTTCTCCATCTGTAAGGAGATAAAATATGACACACTTTAGACTGACATGTTCTAAATCTTCAGTAATGGCAGTTTTTTATATCTTCATTCAAAATTAAGCCACTTTATTTGCCTGTATTTCTGTACTGTTTAATTTTAGGGGTGCCTGGCTGGCTCATTCGGTCAGGCATGTGACTCCTGATATCAGGGTTGTGAGTTCAAGCCCCGTGTTGGGCATAGAGATTACTTTAAAAAAATAAATAATGTGCTGTTTCCTTTATGACATCCAGTGGTAGTGCATACGTGCTCATCTTAATCACTAATCAACTCCTTTAACAATATTAAAGCACTAAGATTATTAGGGTAATCTGAAAACTTTAATAAGTAAGGTTATATTTTGTGGGACTACCAACATAAGAGTGGGTAAATTCTTTAATTTTCTCAAAACTAAACAGTATGTTGTGTCCTCCACATTTCAGTGGTTATATTTTGTAAGTGGTAATTTTCATCAAAAATATTTCTAATCTCTGTCTCTTCCAGTCCTCATCTGTTCTGATTCAAAGTCTGTTAAATTTTACTCTTATCTGTTTAGTAGCTTTATTATATAGCTACACTTACTGTATACCTGCTGTGTGCCAGATCTTTGCATATGCAATCATTCATCCCTCACAACTTTGCAAAATAACTAGTATTTAGTATTGTCTCCATTTCACAAAAAAAGAAAACTTAGATCAGTTTACCCAAGACCCAAAAGCTAGTAACTTGCCAGACTTGGCATTTAACCTGGGCCTGTCTAACCCATCCCCATATTCTTCCTAAAACATCACAGTGCCTCTTAGTTCAGTATTCATTGGATCTACTTTCAAAGTCAAAGTATTTTTTTTAGTAACTTCAGTGGTTTTAAATGGTTATACCTGTCAGCAAGCAGTACAAAGCCATGATAAATAACAATCCACTGAGTTCCCTTTTGTAATCCGTATAGACCCCAAAGTCGTGTTCATTATAATCAGTGTACAAAGTATAAATCAGTTATACCATCAAGATGAAGACAGAGTATGTACTATAAGAATATTAGAGATACAGTACATAGGACCCCATAAATACTTTTTACTTGAGGATATATTAATAGAAATGATTAAAGCAACATTCTTTATGACTCAGGTGATAGAAATCAATACTTAGGCAGAATAGGGTGTGAAATGAAGGGTACGTATTACTGTATTCTTTACATCTAAAATTGAGATCTACTGTAAATTATTTAGAGTTTGAGTATGCCCAGTATATACCACAAATATCATTTGCCAAAACTGAAGAGGTACTGATAAGCTATATACCACACATGCTAAAAAGCCTGATTTGACTCTCAGTTTATTGAAGGGGGATTTCACACTGCAGGCAGTAAGGGAGACATGGAAATTGTTGTATTTGAGGAAAATACCCTTTGGTTTTGGCATACTCTAAAGCAGTATTCTCCAGTAAAACTTTCTATAATGATAGAAATGTCCTATATCTGCACTGTTCATTATGGTTGCCACTAACCAGATATGGTTGCTCAACACTTGAAATGTGGCCAGTACACCAAGGACCCACATGTTTATTTTCACTTAATGTTAATTTTTAATTTTAGTGTGGCTATGCCTACCTCTTTGGACAGTACAGCTCTAGAGATTTTATGACTTAGTGATTATGATAACCTGCCACCAGTACAATGAGCACTTTAAAAGGTAGATGTTTACAGAATCTCTCATAGACTTTTTTTCTTTTCTTTTTTTCCTATTTGAACTTGTTAGTTGGTAAGTATAACATTTGAATTTACAAAGCATTGTCCATTGTTAAACATCATCACTCTAATGCATTGCATGCCCAATTTCATAATAAAAACTTGATTACTCTCTTCTCTGCTCCTCAGTTAACACCTGTAAAATTCTGCAGTGTCTCTCATATCTGTTATCTGTCTTCTCTTTTGTTTTCTCACTTCTGCTCGCTACTCCATTTCTTCATTCACAACAAAGAAAGAAATGCAGTGATAGTTCTCTTCCTCCCAAAACCTCCGCTAGAAAGCATTGGCCATCTCAAGGTAAACAGCCATGGGAAGGCCTCTCATGATTGGCCGGGAATAATATGCATTACCAGAAAAGCATGAGCTACCGCTCTTCACCTTCCTTCTGCCATCCATCTGCAGTGCTTCCCTAAAAAGGGCCATGGATTCATATTCTCCTCTAGGTTTTCCAGTATGGGTCCAGTATGAACCAATTCAGATCTTCAGGAAGAGTAAAGGTGAACAGAAATATATTTCCTTCTCCTTGTGTTTTGAAGGCCAACCTCATTTCAGTTAGAAAACAAAGAATTGTTGGAGAAATTACTTTGAAAAGAAGGGCAATTGGACCTAGATTCCAAGTAGTGAGAAAATATTTCTTCCCTGATAATATGTTTGTTCTGAAGTATAATTGTAACGTTTCACCTTAAAAACACTCTGAAGTATTCTACCAAGATAGATTCTTAATAATACATCTCTGTAAGATCAGTACCCCTTATTGAACAGTTTTGTTCAATATTCATAACTTCAATTTAGGCACAAATGTTTCATTATATGGAAGTGTTAGTATGATTATTTCCACGCTTGAAAGTTCTCTGAGGTGCTCCTTTGGCTAACAAATATGCCAAAAGTTTTCCTGCAGAGTGAAGAAATGTATAATAAGCCTGCAGCCTGTGTGAGGTGTTTGTGACGTAAAGAAAATGTTCACATACATAAGGCCCAGAAAATCTGGATTAAAGTGTCTTAAAATATACAGAATTTTTTAATTTTTGTTCTATTTTCAGATTGTTTTATTTTTTTTTTGGAGGGCTTTTATTTTTAATGTAATTTCTTATTCAGAAAATATCTGAGGGCCTATAGTGTGCAAAGTTCTATAGCATTGCTGTATATTAGAGAATCATAATTCATAGAAATACGGTGCAGAGGTAAAGATACTACTTCGTAAATAACACAAAAAAAATTTCCAATTTGAATTTGTTTTTGCTTCTTTTAATGTTTGTTCATCCTACTGGCTATTTACTTGCTGTGACTGGATGGAGTAACTGCAAAAATTTAAGTTAAGGAAAACAAAAGCATTGCTTATCTCTTCTAAATGGAAGATATTTTGAGGCGTCAACTTGTCTTTTATTAAATTTCAGATAAGAGTTCTTGTCTTCCTCCTTCCCCTAGGAATTTATCTTGCCCCTTTCTAAAAGCATATTTAAATACCCAGCGTGTATAATGGTCTCATTGTGTTGAATTTCTTTTTAGAACCATTCGGTGCTGTTGTTTTCAAGTTTGAGCAGTGGATACCCTTTTCTTGGTTATACCCTGTACTTTAGAGACAGGAATTGGTCCTTCTCTCACCTGCTTCTTGAGCCCTTCCCTGCATGCTAATGATGCTTTGGATCCCTGTCCTGTCTGGCCCAAAGATTTTGCTTCCCATTGCTTTTTCTGAGGAGCTCTCTGGTTAGTCCTGGCTCTGGAAACAGTGATTGGTGCTTTCTTGCTAATATAATTACGTGAGCCACCAGATGACTGGGTTTTAAATAAAATCTTAGTAGGCTGTTCTAAAAGGCAAGTTTTGGCCTTGCTTTTTCCCCTCAAAAGAACTCATTAAGGGTTGGGATCCATGCTACAGATGAGTAGCAGATTATATCTTATGGGGTGAGAGGCCAGACGACATGTGCTAATGCTCTTAATATTTCCCACAGGCTCCTACCCAGAGATTCTATCCAGTGAAACTCCCACAGCAACGCAGGTAGACGGGGCTGACCTGGCCTCTCCAATGTCTCCTCGAACTAGCAAAAGCCGCATGTCCATGAAGCTGCGTCGATCCTCTGGCTCAGCCAATAAATCCTAAGGAGACAAGCAGCCCAGCAGTGTGATCAGCAGTAGCCACCTTAGCATGAACATAGTGTTAACCCTTTCAGGCCTTCGTGTTTGCCATAACTTGCATGTATCTTCCTGAACATTTATTTTAAAAAAACACTGGATTTAAGTAATTTGTAACTTAATAGGTTTGGATTGTTTATTCAGTTGGTTTTCCCCCCCCCAATACTCTAAGCTGCCATATTTTTGGGGGGTGGAGTTTTATTCTACACCCTTTACCTTCCTAGATAATTATGTCTAAGCAGTTTCACTTTTAATTTCATGATTAACTCTGAGCCAAAATATAATTGGATAGTCTCATTATTTTATTTATCGTGCCCCATTGCAACTTTATGGCTCAGTAAATATATGATTGTTTTTTACAAATGTAAATTTTTAAATTTAAGCATTTGTAAAGTTATAGCAAAAGTTGCAAATCTTAATACACAGGATGTGTATGGATTATTTATGTTATGAAAATAAAACACTTAAAATAAATGGTGGTTTAGTATTCCAAATTCCAACTAACATAATTTTAGCATTAACTTTTTCTTCCCAAAGCGATGCCTCATTTCTTGGCTGTGCAGGTGATGCCATGATATATCTAATAACAAGAAAAATCACTGTGCTGAACTTTGATTTAGGTTTAGCTTCCAAATATTTTTCTAATGTTTTGCTTTTTAAATGGTATCACTGTTAAATGCCATTTTTATTTTGAGATTGTGGCCCTGTATTATTGGCTGCTGGATCCTGGTGTATCGTTGTTCTTTACTAAGTACCAGAAAGAGGGTAACCGGGGGATGGGGAGAAAGAAAGAAAAGAAAAAACTTTTCTGATATAAATGTGTTGCTTAAATTATGTGTATTTAAAAAGGGAACATGACCCAGGAGTCTAAGTTAAATATTATATTAATACTGAACTTGCTGGTGCAAGCTGGTATACATTCCCCCCCCCCCAGAAATACTTTCCTACAATAAATAAGCTGCTCACATTTTGTTCATATTTTGTTTTGAACGGGCATCTCCTAAGGAAATGTAGCATGACATCAGTACTAACTGCATGTGTAAATACATCATACCGGCAAACTATAAAATATAAATTATGTATCATCATTCATGTAGTATCTACAAATTTGTAACAGTGAAAGAAAAAGATATGGTATTTAATAATACAATAAAAATATTCTTATCACAATGTCTATGAGCATTGATTTGTCTTTTATATTTCTCATCTATTTGTCTTTAATATATTTTCAGACTTAATAAGTAGAACTATGTGATTGATGGAGAGATGTAAAGCATAAACCTAGGTTATCTTAGCAAATCATGAAAAATGAATTCAAGTTCTTTAGTTAGGATACACCCCAAGTTATTTCTCAGAGATTCTACCATAGTCGTTAAAAATGCAGGCAATTTTATACCTTTGTAAGGGCTGGCCAGAAATTTAACCCAATACACTTGGTTAAAGCATCAATTAAGCTTAGCCTTCTGCTTCTTTGATTTTTAAGTTTCATTTTGTTTGATAATACACATTCAGGGAAGAAAAAAACTTTTTGCAGACAGTTTCTAAATAACCTTTCAGAGTTCCTATGCACTTAAGTTTTTGTTTTCTTGTAAATAAAAATAGATTCCTAGGAAACTGTGGAAGACAAAATTCCTATGAAAGCTTATGTAGAAGATAAACGAGTCCCTGGGAACAAGGTTAAACAGTATAGATAGTTTCCCACAACCAAGGCAAAGAATTACAGAAAGGAAAGTCAAGGTAACTGCTTACACATTTCTATGGTGCTTTCATTTTTTAATAATGAACAGCTAATGGATTGATGAAATATAACAAAATGGAATGAAAATGCCAACTTGGAAACAGTGAAGTTAATTAGCATGGTTAACATTTTTTTCATCTTTGGATAAAACTACCAGCTTTTTTAAAGAAAAAATACTTAAAATATATTTTCTGTTGACATTTTTAGGTGGTAAAGTATCTTTAGATTTAAAGCCTTTTGGAGCTTAGTCTGTGCAAGCCATACTTCAAAGGAAATTTTTCCATTGCATTTCTGCACCATTATATGCATTTATAAAATATAATTTCTCCTGTCTGTATTCTATCTAAATGGGTCACTAAGAATCTAAAGTAGGATACTAGCTTTGGGGAGATAAGAAATGTGGCTTTGAAAAATAGGCTGTGTTCAATGAGATTCTCAGGACAAACACAGAACACAAGAAAGCACCAGCTATGTACATTTATTTGGTGGTAAGCATCTTACAAATATGGGCTATCTGTCGAGCAATACTCAGCCAGTGTCCCAAACTCTGGCTATTAGAGCATGGGTACAGAGTGTGCACTGAATATGGTTTACAAAAAGAAATTTCAGAAACAGATTGCTGCTGAAAAATGAATATTGAATGAAAAGTCATTCAGTTCCATAGTGGATTATAGATAGATAGGTATTAACATCTTCCTTAAGCTGAACATAGTTTCATATATAACACTGTATAAGATTTACAACAGAAGGATTAAACAATTTGGATGAAACCCTACTAAAACAGTCAAACTCCCAGAAATGAGTTTTATATTTCCAAAAAAAAAAAAAAAAATCTGTTAAAGTATCTCTTCCTGAAAACACACAAAAAAGCTAAAGGTGAGAATTTGGGGGTATCTCAACCCCCTCCAAGTAAAGTAGCACCCTCTCCACCTCCAAACACTAACTTAAGAATGGACTACTAATACTTGAGAAAGAGAACGTTTACAGGGAGATCCCCATATCCCCCCAAAGCGCAAACATCCCCTTACATTTCCTGCCCACAGGCAGAGGTCTTGAGTCTTTCCCCAACCCCCTGTACGTTTGGCACCAATCACATAACTTTTAATTCACAGAATATACAATGCAAGAAATCTGACCCTATTGAGACAGAAACTACATAGGCGCCTGCAATGGCAAGAAAAAAAAAAAAACAAAAAGACTACCACTTTTGGTAGTTAGAATCATTTGCAGATATTGAGACATGCACGTATTCACTACGACTTTCCATAGGAATTACAAGTCATATAGGATTCGTTAGGGTCTCCAGAATGAGGGGGGAAATCCTATTTTCGTGGGGTAAGAGAGAAGGCTTTTAAAGTGACAGTCCTTGACCGCGAATGTTTATATCATATACATACCTGCTCTAGAGAGGGATTTTACATTTCGCTGTCCGCTTCTCTGGCGGAACATTGACTACTGGGAGTTTTAGGAGAGAAAATATAGGCAGCAAAGAGGGTAAACTTGCAAATTCAAGAAATCCCCACAGAAATTCCCTTGCTCTGTTTCCTCCAAAGCCAACCGCATAATCTTCCTCATCTCTGTCCTCAACAGCCAGGCCGCAACGGCATCTGCAGCAGCAGTACCTGCCGACTTTCTGAGGGGTGGCACTTATTTATGTGCCGGGTCAGCCCCGGGGAGCTAAAAAAAGTGGACGGGCAGTGTTTGCACGAGAAAATTTGCTGAGCACTCCCGTCGGATGCCCCGCCTGGGCTTGGAGCTTCAGGGGGGGCCCCAGCCAGAGCAGGCAGGAGCAGCTCCTCGCGGACCGCGTGCCACAACCGATGCTTGTCCCTGATGTCTGCGGAAGGGAAGTGGGCCCCGCACAGCGGGCAAGCGAAGGCGAGCGGGGCACCGTGTTCAGAGCCAAAGCCCGGGGCAAGTGCACGAGCAGAGCCTGCCTCGTGAGTGCCTAGGTGCTTGCGCAGATAGGCTTGGCGACGGAACTTTTTGTGGCAATATGGGCACATGAAGATCTCGGGTCCCCCGACACCACTGGCACTGCCTGGCCCAGGCACCCGGCGCCCCAACATCCCCTCCGTATAGGGGACCTGAGGCAGCGGTGGCTCGGGGTGGGACACCTGGAGGCCCGGGTGTGGGGCGCTGTCCTGGTGCTGCTCCGCCCTGGAGCTGTCCCTCGCCTGCAGGTGCTGATCCGCCGTTTGCTCTGCCCGGCTGTTCTCCTTCCCCTCCGCCAAGAAAGATGCAACAGCCCCAGAGTCTGGGGAGGCTGAGGAAGGAGGTGGCTTCCCGTCGGCTGAAGAGACTGTGGCAGCATTTGCCGCTGCGGGACGGGGCTTGTGCCAACGGCGATGGGAGGCGAGGTTCGCAGGGCAGCTGAAGACCTTGTCGCACTCAGGGCAGCGGTATTCGACGCGTACGATGCGGGAGCAGCGGTGCTGAGCCAGAGCGAAGGGGTCCGCGTACTGCTCCTTGCATAGCTGGCAGATAAACTCCCCCAGTGGCGTGCGGCTGCCCCCCAGGCCCCTGGACGGTGCTCCGGGCTCCTCCTCCTTGATCTTCAGGCCCAGAACAGGGGACGTGGTCACTTCATCTGCGAAGCTCAACTTCCTCATGGCCTTTGGCTTCTTGACTCCGGCGGCCGCGGGTCCAGACGCGCAGCCCGGAGGTGCCTTGGCACGGCGCTCGTTGCCAGCGGCCCGCTTTAGGCCTTGCAGGGTGACCGAGAGGGGCGCAGGGTCTGGATGGAACTCTGGCTCTGGGAATGGTGCCCGGAGCGGCAGCAGGAACTGCTCCCCGGAGGTCGGTGCAGCTGCTGGCGCCGCCGAGCTGGAGAAAGCAGCCACCGTGGCGGCACCCCCGGGGAAGGACTCTGCAGACACGGGTGAGCTGAGGCAGCGCTCCAGGAATGCCCGGCGCAGCTCCACGCCCGCCGGCTTGGTGGGGCTGGGGCTGGGCCCGGGGCCCTCCCTGCCATCCGCCCTCCACTCCGCAGCACCTTCCTGCCCGCCCTCCCCTGGGCTCACCCTAGCCGCCTGACAGGACGACCCCGACAGCTCGCGGGCTGACGCCTCCTCCTCCAGGGTGGGGGGTGCCACCTGCTCCGCACCTGGCTGGGGAGCACTGGAAGCCTCCTCGGGGAAGGGCGGCGCCCCCTGGGGCCCCAGCACTGGGAAGATCCGCTCAGCTAGGCGCACTCGGTAGGAGCCCCCTGTCCGTTTAGTTCGCTTTACCAGGAAGCCCCTCGGCATGGTGGAGTCGGGAGCGCTCTGGGGGCAAGGAGTAAAGGGGGCGCCGCGGGGGCTGAAAGCGGACGAGCACCGCAGCTACCCGAGCTTCGCCACAGCCGTCATGCGTGGGCTGCCTTTATAGCTGAGATTCGGGCCGGGGGACCACCGGTAGCCTTCAGGCTGGGCCGGCCAATCAGGAGTGGGAGCGGGCGCCAGGGGCGGGGTTTTCGCCTGGCTGGGCTCTCAGGGGTCCAAGAGGTTGGCTGCGGCGCGTGCCCCCACCCCACCACGCAGCGGCCTCCGCGCGGCCCCAGCAGCTGGCTTCGGGGCTGCCGCCTCCCCCTGCCGCCCACCAGCGGAAGAAGATATAAAAAGGTAAGGTCCGGAGTGTGAAGAAGCTCGGTACTCCCTGCCTCAGCTGCCTCCAAGGACCGTCCAGGGAGCCGGGCGGAGAGGCAACCGATGGGCGCCCTCCTTTCGGGCAGGGCCCCTGCTGCATCGCACCCCCGACACGCGTGGGAGTCTGAGGGAGGCCGAGTGGGGGGAAGTCGAGGGGAACGGGCTGCGGACAGCGGGTGTCGGGAGGCGACCGAGTGGGTGTCCGCCGGGGAACGGGTTAACGTCCTCTGCCCTTATTGAGCTGATGAGAAGCTGCGACCGAGCGGCAGGCCGGCTAAATCCACCGCCCTGTGCCTACACTTGACGGCGGGAGCACGTCTGCCATCCAGTATCGATCGACACTGCGCGCGTCTGTGATACTATGAGAATTCATCTGGGAAGAAGGGCTCTCAGTGCGGGAGATCGTGCGTGCTGGCAAGCCTCTGGAGCTCAGGACGCCAGCCGGTTTCTGGACCCTGGTCCTCAGGGCTTATAAATGTCCCCTCCCCGATGGGAAAAGGAGTGGGGAGGGGAAAGTAGGATCTAATTTTCGACTGTCCTCAGATAAAGTGGTTTCTCTGTTCACACCTTCCACTTGTACTACCCAGAGACATGACTTAGTGCCTAACTGACCTGTTTAGCATGGAGTAGATTGGGTGAGAAATACTGGCAGAATCAGGATTTCATCTGCTTCCCCTTATACAAGTGATACTTTGCAAAAGGTGTGCTATGGGCCACATTTAATAGATTCTCATCCTTCACTCTGTAATGTGCCCAGCACTGTTTTAAGCACTAGAAGAGATGTAAAAGTTTGTAACACAGCTGAACTATGAAATGATTAGAAAATATGACAAATGTATAATTAAGTGCCAAAAGTCCATAATATAGATAAGTACAACGTGAGACTAGGAAGGGGAAAGAACTCAAATCTCCTTACTAAATCAAATTGGAGAAAAAGACTGAGCAATGTAGTTTTAGACTACAGATATAACAAACAGATGTAGTCATCAATAACACACATCCTCAGATCCTCTTCCTCCTAAGTGAATGAAGTGTTTTTACATAGAGTGCATTATTTTGGGGACGCTTGGAAGCAATTATATATTTGTATCATTAACAATATTTTAGGCATTCTACTTAAGGAATCTCTAATCTTTTCACACATACACACCAAACGGAAGGAGATATTATTTACTCTCCCTTTTTTGATGAGGGGATTGATCCACAGAAGTTAGGTAAATAACTTGCAAAAGTCACCCAGAGCTCAGATTCAAACTGCGGCCTGGCTAATTCCGAAGACTTTTCCACCATACTAGTGACTTCAAACTATTTTTTTTTTTTTTCTGGTCACATCCCACAATAAGAAATATATATTATGGTACACACATGTAACTGAAACAAAAATTTCACAAAATAATATTTAGTTTACCTAGGTATAATGCATTCTTGTATTTTCTATGCAATTATATTTTCTTTTTTAAAATGTTGATCATAGCAAACAAATTGATTTCATGACTTATGGACCCACAATACAAAAAACACCTTTATTATGGTGTTTCCCATTAAAAATCATGAAACCATACAAAATGAAATAAACTTGATACTTTATAATCAAAATTAATATTTGGAATCACTATGTAAAATATTTGGGCCCTTTTTTTAAAATATAACTTATTGTCAAGTTAGCTTACATATAGTGAATACAGTGTGCTCTTGATTTGGGAATAGATTCCCATGATTCATCACTTACATACAACACCCAGTGCTCATCCCAACAAAATAATTGAGCCCTTTAATAGTGTTGATAAATTCAGTTTCCCAAATTGATCATTTCTGACACATCAGTTTATGACTTGTATCTTCTCTTTTCCTTTCTCCTCACGGCCCAAACATATTGTGTGGTGTTGACAATTTTATGTAAGATTTTAATACTTTAAGACAGCCCCTTTCCAAGAGGGGCTTTTCCTCAGATGTATGTAGTACTTTGTAAGAACTGCTGTAAGAATTGCAACCATATGGGGCGCCTGGGTGGCTCAGTCTGTTGGGAGTCCAACTTCGGCTCAGGTCATGATCTCCCAGTTCGTGAGTTCTAGCCCCGCATCAGGCTTTGTGCTGACAGCTCAGAGCCTGGAGCCTGCTTCGGATTCTGTGTCTCCCTCTCTCTCTGACCCTCCCTGGCTCACATTCTGTCTCTGTCTCTCTCTCAAAAGTAAATAAACCCCCCCCCCCAAAAAAAAAAGAAAGAAAAAAAAAAAAGAAAAAACAATTGCAACCATATGACCCAGCATTTGTGCACCTAGGCAATACACAAAAAAATTGAAACCAGGCACTGAAACACATCCTTGTACGCTGGTGTCCACTGTAGCATTGTTCAGAAAAGCCCAGAGATGGAAACAACCCAGTGTCCCACAATAGACAGATATATCAACAACATGGGATATACACAAATGACAGTATATTATTCAGCCATAAAAAAGAATGAGTGCTGATCCATACTACAACATGGATAAATCTTGAAAACATTATGCTAAGTGAAATGAGCCAGACACAGAAGACAAATATAAGATTTCACTTAAACTGAAATATCTAGAATAAGCAAATTCATAGAGATAGACTGTAGATTATTGGCTATCAGGGGTTGGGGAAATGAGAACTTACAGTATAATGGTTACAGAATTTCATTTGCAGTGATGAAAAAATTTTATTAATCAATAGTGATAAAAATATATAGTGGTGATACCATTGTGAATGCTGTCAATGCCACTGAATTGCATGCTTAAAATTTTTTTGTTATATATTTTAAAAATGGGCATTTTTGTTATATATATTTTGCAATAAAAACTGTTTAGACACACACAGAACAAGTGGAAGGCAAAATCATGGCATATCAGACTGTGAAAACAATGTAAAGGACCAGGTCATGTAATCTGGACTTTATGTCATAGGACAGGCACAGAGAGGCATTTAAAGTTTTAAAGTGAGGAAGTGACATTTGCTTTTGAAAACGCAGGAGGAAAAATATCTTTGGGTAAACTTTCTGCCGGAGAGAGAAAGGGAAACAGATATAAGAGTCTCCTTCTCTCAGTCCTTCCCCTTCCGACTGAGAATGTGGGTCTTTTTTCTAGAAAAACTAAAATGAAGGAAACTTAAAAAGTCTAAAGAGCAGTTATAATAGAAGAATACTTCATAGTGATTGGCATAGAGCTGATATTCAATACATGACCATTTGAATAAATATTGTGAGTTATTAGATGGACAGCAAATGTGTCATCCAACCATCCCTCCAGCCATCCTGTCTTCCATCTGTACATCTATTCAATCACTCATCAATTAATTGTGGTATATTTTTTCTGTGATAGTTCAGAAACACAGCGTCCAAGGAGTATCTACTCTGTTATTTTCAGGAAAACGGACTTGTCTAGGAGACGGCCAGGGCCACCTGGAGCTGTTATTATTCCTAACCACCATGTTACAGAAATTTACCCTGAAATCTCTAGTTGACCCGAAGGTCATCAACATCACCCCAGTTGCCAAAGTGTTCCCTTCTATGCTGCCTCCTACCAGCTCTGCTTCATTCCTGTGTAAGGAAGGGCAGACTGCATGCTGCTGTGCTGTCCTCCTACAGCTCCTCCTGCTCCAGAGGCATTCTGACTTCCTTCCTACTCTACCCCCTTCCTGGAAATGCCTTCTCTGACCCCTCCTCTCTATCACCCCATTGTCTCAGTATCCAGAGATCATCCAACCTCCATTAGACTTTCCTGATTTTCACTGCACAAACATATCTGCTACTCTTCAAACTCAGAACACTTATCTCATATTAAGTTAGTACTATGTTATCACTATGAAACAGAGCAAGTAATAGTATACAATAATACACAGCCATTTCTCTTCTGTGTATTCAAAATAAAAGGCATTATTATTTGTTTTCACAAAAGAATTACTGTCAAGTATTTTCTAACAAATCCGATCGTTTCAGTAGTTCTCCCTCTCCACACACACCCCCTTCACCCAAAAATAATTTGATTACAACCTTTCTGCAAATCAGTGTAGCGATGTATATCAGAAGCTTTTAAAAATGTATATACCCTTTAATTCACCAATTGCTTTTTTAGTAAATCATTCAAATTCAAATTCTTTGTCCTTCTGGACAAAGCTTTATGCACAAGACTGTTTATTACCCATTATTTGTAATTATAATCAGAAACTGCCTTGAGTAAATCCTGATACAGCTATACTATAGATGAGTATGTAGCCCTAAAAATGCAATGACGTAGACAAATACATATGCCATAATGTTAAGTAAATACACCATGATGCAAAGTTGCAGGTACAATAACGAGCTCAATTATGGGAAAACAAAATGAATAAAAGAAGGCAATATGCCAAGATGCTGTTGGAGTTGCCTCTAGCTAATAGGGATTTTAAACTTCCGTTATTTTTTTTTTTAAACTTTCTTGTTAAAAATTTTGTCAGTAACCATGTGTCACTCTGATAATCAGAAAAAAAAAATAATGTGAAAGCTGCCTTGACTCCTTTCTGGTGTTAGATGTGGCATCCCGCCCCTAGGACACTGTTGGGAGAAATGACTGTGCAACATGGAAGAGTAATTGCACAATAAATTAGCCTCTCCAGAGCCACCTGTT